GGGGGGGGGGGGGGGCGGAGAGCTGCAGCAGGGCTGCCGAGACAGGTGGGGGAGTCCTCGTCCTTGGAGAGGTTGAAGACAAAAAAAAAAAAAAGAAAGAAAAAAGGCTTGGGTGTGATGATGCAGTTGAAGCAGGGGGTGGACCGGATGTGACCCCCCCCGAGGTCCCTTCCCACCCTCCTCCGAGAAATGAAGGGCTGCGGGCAGCTTCAGAAATGGCCCGTGGGGTGACAGTGTGATCTTGCAAAAGGTTGAGAGGTCTTCCGTCACTTCTGTCTGCGCTGCCTGCCAGCCCCTGGTTGCAGAAAGCGGGTTTCAGCCCTGCTCCAATTCCCCACTAAAGCTGCTTGGGGAACCCCTAGACGGGGGGTTTTGTAGTGGGACCCATTTGTGAACACCCATGGCCAGTGCCCCCCCGCTCCCGACCAGCTGGCCTATGCGTGTGGGGCAGGGGTTTGTACGTGGGGCAGGAGGCTGCCAGCCTGCAAGGGAAAAGCCACGGTTTCCCTATGTTTTTCTCCTTTAAAAGCTCAATGAGCCATTTCTAAAGTTTTTTCATGACCCTTTCATACATTTGTGCGCCAACTTTTGGGTTGCAACCCTCAGGTTGAGAAACACTGCACTAGAAGGAGCTCCCTCTCCCTCCTTCCTTCTCTCCTGCTCTGAGCAGGGATGGGCTGAGAGAGGGGCCATTGCTGGGCAAAGCTGACTGCAAGTCGCAGCTAACAGCTGGATTCCCCTCCCTGCTGGAACCAGCTGTGAACATCTGCTTGTTTCCAGGGATGATTGCAACCCTCGACCCTTCCCGCAAAGCATTTTTAGTTACAGCAGGGACCTGTACTTCTGGCTGCAACCACGTTTTTTCAAGCACTAACTGTAGAGCCGATTGGCTCTTTTTGTACCTGGAGAATCACTTTTATCGTGTGATAATTACTTTGCAGGGGTGGCCGGATTAGCTGGCTAATCGCAGGATAAATGTAATTCTATGATTAGCCAGTTAATGGTGTAGCAGGGGCCTAGGTATTTTAAGTAAAACCTCTGAGTTACAGAGCCAGGACAGTAGCTGAGGACATGAGATTGCATTCAAATTTACAAAAGGGCAATTATCTAGCTCTCAAGGTTACAGAAAAAGCTCCTGCACAAGGCATGATTAGCCTCTGACCTGTGGGCCAAATCCAGGTCATGGGAGCCAAGGGATCTAGCCCACTGGGCTCAGCACAGGTCTAGGAATCTGGTGGAAGGGGGAGTGGTGGAAATTAACCCTACTACCCCTCCACCACTGCTAAATTTTCACGCACAGTGGAGCCAGGCCAGGCTACTGTTGCATGGGCAATGGGGGTTGGGCCTGGCCCAAGCTGTAGCAGTTTCCACTCAGTACCCCGAGTCCTGGGAGCTGCATCTGAGCCCTGCATGATAGAGGTGGGCCAGCCTGGCTCTGCTCCTTGCTGCCACATGCAGCTCCTGGAACTGGGGGGAGCCAGGCACTGCTGGCAGGGGCTGTGCGCCATGGGGGAGGGCACGGGGGAGCCCCTATACCACCCTGTCACACCCCACATACTGCCCACCCAAGCTCTGTGCTTCCAGCATCCCACTGAGCGCAAGCCCTGGGCTCTGTGCTCCCGCCAGCTCCATGCTCCACCCAGCTGCAGCCTCCCTACCTGCTGCCTGGAGCAAGTGCTGCAGCAGGGAGACGAGGAGGAGCCCGCTGGAGGCCAGGGAAGCTGAGCAGGTCCTGGGGCAGCTGCAGCAGTGGTCCCACCCAGAAGTGTGCTTGCTGGCTGGGGCTCTCCTGCACATGAGGGTGGGAGCAAAGTGTGCAGGCTGGGTGGGGTACAATTCATTGGTAAGTGCCCGTGGGCCATCTATTTTGCCTGCTCCTGTTCTAGCTACATGGCCAGATCCAGCCCACCAGCCAGCTACCACTATCCTAAACCATACAAGGTTAATAAGACAAGTTAAATCATGCTATTTTGAAAATGATCTCTATGTTCTTGGGAGTTCTGACATGGTTTTTGATGCCTGGAGTTGGTAATACTAAAATTTACACCACCCATTTGAAAAGCACCTCCCTCCACCTACCTGCCAGAGAGATGGCAACTCAGGATTCTCTGCTGTTCATGCTAGAGTTGATGACAATCGCTAGCACCTAAGGCAGTTTAAAGGCAGTTTCCTGCAGCTGTGACAGAAGCCACATGCACCTCTATATTTCTTTTTTCTCCCCCAACTTGAAGGTTTAACTTTTAATTCCACTTCTAGACCTTCTCTAGGCCATTTTGCTGGATTCAGCTACTTGAGGTATACAGATGGAGGCCAGCCTATTTCTAATCACTACAGGAGGGGTGCGTAGCATATACTTTAAGAGACTTTCCAGATAACTGGCAGTTAGTAGCGTGAACATCTGTGGGGGGAACCACGAAGGTCATAACTCAGAAGAGAAACCCATAGAAGGCTGCATCTACACCATGTTTACCAGTGTAGTTATATTAAGAAGCCATCCTCATGGAGGCAACCACAGTTCCTTTGCTTAGGCAACTTATTTAGTTTGGGAAACTGGCAAAAGCTACATTGGCAAGGCCTTCGATAAGTTGCTATTCTGCAGGTGTAAAGCAGGCCCATACCATTCCCATTTCCCAGAGGGAAAACAAACCAGTACCATACCTAATAACTACTTGCCTCTCATCCCAGGAGAGTGAGCAAACCTAGGTTAAGTTATTGAAATAGCAGCTCTAGAGTAACACAAGAGTAGTCCAGCAAAAAAACCCAAAGTATAATTTAAAACATAAGAAAAGATTTTTTATTTTTTTGTTACTCAGAAAATAATTAATTTTTAGAGATTGCTCTCTACAAAAAGTATTTGCTGAACCTGCTCCTAGAATCAAGCGAAGTGGAGAAAAGAACATAGTCTGACAGTACCACAAGCACTCCTAAGATTCAGCTCTTCTTGTCTGAATGCATTAGACCAAGTTGATCATAACATTTGGGGCTGGAAAGGGAATCTGCCTCAAAAGCCAAGGATTTAGGGACATTTTTTTGTTATACTAGAGAATTTAGCAAGACTTGTATATCACATATGCAACATCACTATTTCCTGCATGCTCAGGAACTACCCGTTACTAAGCCTCAGGTCTTTGCGTTCTGTGTTTTCCCAAGCCTCACCTACAGCAGCAAACTTATCCCTCGCCGACAATGGATTTCAGCAAAAGGTGCTAAACATAATTTAGCTGTGAGGACAGACTAACACTTTAGCCTGTTTCTGAAATGGTCCTGAAGATGGTTTATCTTTAACTATACTTGCAGTTAAATCACATTTAGCACCAGTTCAGCCACAGTTGTTGCCCATCGTCATTCACTTTTATCATTCATCCCAGCATCAGAAGCAATTTAGTCTTCACTGCAAAATACGAGGAGAGCAGAGAAACCTGACTAGAATAGAAAATTATTGATACAACCAAGAGTAAAAGTTTTTCAACTTGTGTAGTGTTTATACTTTTATATAATAATTTAAAGAAGCTGCAGTATTGTGGTTATATCCCACTTGTCTTTCTGGAACAATGCATAAGTTACATGGGCTTGTAGGCAAAAAGCTTTAATAAAACGAGCAGAAGCTTGTGAAATGGGTTTCCCCATCATCTTAAAATTATTTGAACTGCAAGTATGTGCATGAATTTCCCTTCTAAGAAGGGAAAACATACACGACAATAACATGATGCAGAGGGAAATGATATGAACATATCTAAAAAAACCCCCCAAAACTGTTACCGTCAAAAATCAAATCCAATTGGGAGTTTCCATAGGTCCGGTTCCAGGAGACGATCTACCATATTATAGAAGAGTCACCTGAAACCAATCACTCTAGCTCTGGTGCTGCTTGCGGACTGTGTTTGCAATCTGGTCCCAAGTTACATGTGGCTGCCAGCAACAAAACTACTCAGGCTTTTATCCTTCTCTCAGTGTAAGTGAGGTTTATAAAAAGATACTAGCAGCATGAATAAATAACAAGATGAGATTGAAAGAACACTGCCATCTGCCAGTTCACAGCACGAAGACCAATTCATAAAGACTGGAGCATACAGTCACTTTATTGGAAACTCCGATTCACTTACGTTTGGTTTATTTTACCAATGCACGTTCCTTTAAGAAAAGGTTGCATAAAGGAAATGTAAGAAACTGAAAAAATATCAACATTATCCCACCTTCTACAATACCAGTTCACGTGCCCAACGAGGTACACACCGTATTTTCCAAATATGTAACTAAACTATATTCACAAATAAGTTATGCAGTGCGTCAAACTCTAGAGAAAGAAAAGTAAATACCACCGTTGCCTTTGCAGAACTTTTCATCAGCAAATCTAGTGAAGATTTTAACAACTTACTGTATGCATCTTACTACTTTTAACTGTACTGCATTCTTGTGAAATGTCTAGAATATGCTGGTGAACACACATTATTCATTACAAACTTCACAAACATTCCTTAAGAAGCTTAAAAAAAAGTCTGCAAATTACAAATAATGTGCTATTTGAAATACTCCATCCATTTAATAACTTTAAAATAAGTAAGTCTGATATTTAAACTGTAAGACTTGTCACGTGGGCTGTGAGATACAGGCACTTAGAATGTTTCAAGGAATTATGCCTCAGTCCTGTGACTTTGCTGCAGTGTATAAGAGATGCCAAGAATTAATCGTCTCTTAATATTGGAATATGAGCTCAATCCAATTCCCATTATAATCATTTGGAAGCATCACACCGATTTAATTGGGGGTTAGGGGTTTAAGTCAGAGGATCCAATCCTGCAAATCCTTTGCTACTCCCACTGAAAGCAGTGGGAAGCTGTAATAGTTTGGGTACCCCAACTGCCTTCTAGATACAATTTATGGTTTGTTTAAATTGATTTTATGAACT